GGGAGGTCGAAAGGCGCGGTTTATCTGTCCTTAGAGAGCGATGCAGTTCTTTTTAGATTACGAGTACTTTACGTATTGTACGTATATACCGACAATTGTAAAGTTCCGGAGTGCCTCCTCTCGCGAGAGAGGAGCCGCATAACTACGTTTCACCCGTAAAAGCCCGCGGTGTCTCTTATCGTAACACGCGAAACGGCACTCGGAATCTAGGCGTTTCAATTAACCACACGGATAGCAAATCCGTGGAAAAAAGAAGAGATCGAGAAGTGTATCGTTCCGCTCGTTTGAAATCGTTTTTATCAAACTCCTCGTTACGCGTGCGTAAGCTGTACCGGTGTAAACTTGCGTGTTCCGAGGAGATTCTTCACACGCCACTTCATCCCCCCCGGCAAGCTATCCTCGACCAAATACGGCGGATAAGGAAGGGATGAGGGAGCGAGCAACAACACTACGACGGCTCTCGAGAATAACAGCGGCAGCGTTGTCCGCGGTTGAAATCCTCTTTCCTTTAGAGAGAAGAGTAAATATTACCGTGGTGCTCTCTCGCGCGATAGTTCCGTAAATAAAGGACAGTCACACGTGCGTCACACGGGTATAATGCGATTCGATCGTATTAACGCCTTCGCGGATTCACGTTCGATTTTAAATGAGTTTTTTTTTTATAACCCTCGGCGAATTAAATCGGGCGCGAATTTAATTATTAACTCGGCTCTTCAGCGCATCGATGAAAAGCGGAACATCTTCGTGAGTATAGCGTTCGTCGATGGATTAACGCGGACGCTGATCGCAATCGGGTGGCCTTTTCAATTAGCCGATAACCATTATTTATGCGAGATAGCGCGAGATAGGGCCGTGTACGACGCAAAGTTTATCGCAGGTCATACCTGAAATGAACGTGTCGGCTACACGTGTCGGGTTTAACCATTAACCCGGGCTCTTACTCATACACAATTCAAATGCAACCCGAAGCCACGGCGATCCGAGCTCGCCCGTCCTCTAATTTAAGCCACGTCACAAGAGCGGCGTACGTTGATTAGCCTAGGCAAATGATTGGTGATACGTACGCCCGGTCGGCTATCTCGTCGGTAAGCATAGCTTATTTACACAACGAGCACGGTGCTCCGCGTTTGCATTTGGTAGTAAGAAGCTGCGGATCCCATTACACGACTACAATACATAAGCCGCCGTATAAATACGCTACGTTTTGAGCATGCGCTGCCTCTATGACGTTTCAGCCGTCAACGTTTCAACTTGATATTATTACCGACACGCCGTTATTTGCGAATTAAGATACGAGCTAGCAAAAACTTCCCACCCGCTTATCATTCCGCGATGTGGGGCGAAATGTTTGTTTGCTATCAAATATTGAAAGTCCATTTTGGACTTGTGCCATGAAGCGAAATAAGATATGAGCCGAGAAATCAATATCTTTTTGAGCGCCTGTAAAATAAAATCCTATTGGAATTCGTACTCACCGAGTCGTCCAGAAGGCGGAATTTTACTCCCCATCGATTTCCTCCCCCGTACGTGTGTTATGGACGCTACTCCTATCCCTGATATATCCATCGGATTACGCAATCTGCTGGCTCTTCACAATCGCACCGTCGGGTTCACCTGGACGAAGGAAAATCCAGTTATCGGCTGTATTTTGCATCCGAGAGACCAGCAATTTGATTTTGGTCCAGATATCGGTCGACACTCCGGTTAATAGGTCGGTCGGTGGCACGTATCGCTGAAAATGAAAAAGAAAATCGATCGATAATCATCGATGTCACAATGATACACGCGTGCGATCTTCGCGATGGTAAAAGTGAAAGAGGAGGCGCGAGTCCGAACGCGCCAACAAGTGTCGCGGCCACTCGTTCGAGCGGCAAGCACGTTAGATCGATCGTCAACCGTCGTCGACGGTTCTTCCATTGTACGGTGAAATTTATAGGGCACTTTTCGCGTTTTCGCCTCCCCCCACTCGCGCTCTTCTTCCCCTATCTATTCCCCGGCGTAAGACGCGGTGACTTGGGAGAAATGCGCGATCCAACGAAACGCTCGAGGAGACAGAGAGTAAGAGAGAGAGAGAGGGGGGGGGAGAAAGAGAAAGAGTCGTAAAGCTTCTTCCTCGCAGTATCGCGAAACTCATTCGAGTTTATGGAATGCGTCCGGCGGACGCGCGCAGACGGAGGAAGACGGAAAAATGGTCGCGATATGAAAACATGGGCGAATTAGAAAAGAGGAATCACAAAAGAAGTTCGTTCTGGAAAGTCGAATGTCTTCGATCTTTGGAATCATTCAACTTGATGCACATATTTTGAATCAAATAAATTTGTGAACATCCGATCTTCGAATCATCTCTGCTTGATGCATTTAGCATAAAAGAGACTTAAAAATATCTGATTCTCGAATTGTTCGAATTTGTTTAATATATCTTGGACAGTAGAGATTTATAAATATCTGATTTAAACATTTAATTTGTTCAATGTTAACCAAGATGAGAAATGTATTTTTTACAATTAACTTGATTCAGAAAAAAATTTAATGATATTAAAATTAATTTTTATTCTCAGAGATCGTTTTTTACGAATTCATGTCCATTTTTCGAATTCGGTCACTTCTCGCGGCTATAATTAATCGCAAAGGAAGTATGAATGATGTGTACATGCTTAATGATTTTCTCTTTGGCAATACCGCGAGGATCTTGCGCTTGCAACTGGATAGGCGACATGGTAAATCGCGCATAATCGCAAGACATCTCCCTACTCTCCAGACAGGTGAGCATCTAGGTCAGGGCGTAAAGTTTAAGGGTTACTACTGAAATTTGCATATCGCTCGGATCCGAGCCGCGGGACCCTCGTCCCCTCCTCGGAAAGCCGGATACGGGGCGCACACGGATGTATACGTACGTGCGCGCGAGTGAATCTACAGTCGCAAGTGCGAAATTGCACAAACGTATTACTGCGAAGATAATACGCAAACATATCTTGAGATCGTGATACTAGAGTTCGTTATTGACTCCTCGCTCGTTTTTCGCCTTCATAAGGAATAACGATCGTGACGCTGTTATTCGACGCCGCTTAAGTCTTTTCGCAAAGCGCGTGGAACACTACATAAACATATATTATGCTCGTTATACTTTTCAGATATTATTAATAATAAACTGAAAATTATATATATATAATATTAATAAAAATAATATAAATTATGCAATATATATTATTTTTAATATATACATATATATATATATGTATATATTAAAAATAATATATATTGCATAATTTATATTATTTTTAATATTAATATTAGATTAATAATCGTTTGACGAACCTTTATCTTTTCCGCGTTAGCTATTACTGTGGACCGAGTATCTGGCTATCACCACTGCAGTGCTTTCGAGAAAAAAAATGCACGAAGAGCGTCTCTCTCTCTCTCTCTCTCTCTCTCTCTCTGAAAATGAAAAAAAAAATTGATCAATAATCAATACGCGAACGCCGAGACTGCCGCGACGCCGGCCGTGTAATGGCGCCGCTTTGCGCGTCGCGTTCGATTCGCGACATGACGAACGTCCGCGACACTTTGCGACACGCTCGCGATAATCGCGCGCGCGTGAATCGTCTTCGGACAATCGCGAGAAATACGAATTGCTATCACACGCGATCCGTCACGACGTTATTCGACGCCGCTCACGTCTTTTCGCAAAGCGCGTGAAATACCTATTTTTAATATGCATGTATAATTGCTTGACAAACCTTTATCTCTTCCGCGTTAGCTGTTACTGTGGACCGAACATCTGGCTATCACCACTGCAGTGCTTTCGAGAAAAAAAATGCACGAAGAGCGTCTCTCTCTCTCTCTCTCTCTCTCTCTCTCTCTCTCTCTCTCTCTCTCTAGCTCTCTCTCTCTCTTTCTCTGAAAATGAAAAAGAAAATTGATCGATAATCAATACGCGGACGCCGATCACCCGAGACCGCCGCGACGCCGGCCGTGTAATGGCGCGGCTTTGCGCGTCGCGTTCGATTCGCGACGCGACGAACGCCGCGACACTTTGCGACACGCTCGCGATAATCGCGCGCGCGTGAATCGCCTTCGGGCGATCGCGAGACACACGAATTGCTATTCACGCGCGATCCGTCGCGATGAGCCACGCGTAAATCGAAATCTTTTCGAGAGGAGAAAGAACTTGCCTGATTTCGGGAGGGTCGACGTCGACGGAATGTGAAGTGAGGCGCGTTCAAAAAGTGAGGGAGCTCCGAGCACCGGCCAATCGCAGCGCGCGAATCGCGAGACGGCAACTCTCGCGACTGTGGACTGCGATAGATTGACTCGCTTCACTGCGTGAATCGAGCTGAATCGAACCTCTCTGTAATCTGCGTCGCCGATTTAATCGTCTGTTTTGCGCACACATTCAAGATACTTTAGCGAACGATCGGAAGCGCAAATCGATTGGCGACTAATGCAAAAATTCGCTCAATATGCGTACGGAATTTCCCAAAATCGTGGGTGACATCGAAATGCTTGAAACGCACGCACACGCGCGCGCGATCTTCTCTACGATTACTTGAAACATGGATTTAAAATCCACCTAACGTTCAGGTGTAATATAATTTCGTGTTTGAGCAGACCTTAATATTTCAGCCGCCAAGCGTGTATCTCGTCTCATATAAGTGCAATCGACAGTCCACTGTGCCGCGCACCCACTCGCGTCTGCCGCTTACCGCACGGGTCGTGACTGTCGTGAGTCGTGAACGCTCAACAAGATGTCGCGCGAGTCGCGTTTCCGAGACGAGTCGTCGACGGAAGTGGTGGCGCGGCCATGTTCGAGTTCCTTTTAGGTTGGTTTCGCTGGCAGCACGTTGTCGGAGAGGTAAGCGTGACGTTCATTCGCGAACCTTTCTTCGTAACGTGCGTCTTCATTTATCATTAAGTCTCGTGGTAAGCTCAGCTTTTACCGCTCTCTCTTTTTTTTTTTGCAAAATCCGAATAATCCTTGAACAAAGGTGGCCTGAGAAAACAAACGCAGCGCGCTGACGACTCTGCGTTGTCAACCGTTGAAGCTTGTGGTCTCGTTTTTGTTCTAAATTTCGGTGATTATTTTTCCACGATCCTCCTCTCGATAAGAAAAAAAAAATTGCAAACCGTAAACGATTCCGAGCACGTCTCGCGACATCCTCGGGTAATTGTCGAACGAGATTGCTCTCCGCGTCAGGCGCACGTCGTTATCGTAGTTGTGTGAACGCAAGCTCATGCAGGCTCTCTCTTGATTTTGTTGCAATTCAGATAAGCCACCATGCAGATCTTCGTGAAGACCCTCACGGGTAAGACCATCACCCTCGAGGTAGAGGCCTCCGATACCATCGAGAATGTCAAGGCGAAGATACAGGACAAGGAGGGAATTCCGCCGGATCAACAGCGACTCATCTTCGCCGGCAAACAGCTGGAGGACGGACGTACTCTTTCCGATTACAATATCCAGAAAGGTGCGGACAGACACGACGTTAGATAGAATTTACTAAACTTTCCTAGTCGTCTTGAGAGTACAAACTAGATTTTGTACAGTGCAACGTCTCAAGTGCAGCACCGAGTTTTTGCAGAATGTGTAAAAACATAAGTGTAACGTAATTGTGGCCATGTATGAGAATGAACTTTTATATTTTCTTTTTGTAGAATCGACCCTCCATCTGGTACTTCGTCTCCGAGGAGGCGTCATTGAGCCCACGCTGCGTATACTCGCACAGAAGTACAACTGCGACAAGATGATCTGTCGCAAGTGCTACGCCCGTCTTCATCCGCGAGCGACCAATTGCCGTAAGAAGAAGTGTGGCCACACGAATAATATCCGACCAAAGAAGAAGTTGAAGTAGATTGAAACACCTCAATTCTATTTTCCATGTTACGGAAATGGAAATATATATTTCTTACATATGGCACCAATAAACTACAACTGGTAAACTGATATTTCGTACTTTATTCTTTTCATATGCTTAATAAAATAGATTACTTATGTCTGTCAAATTTTTAATACAACATAAGCATTAATTGAACATAAATTAATCATTGGTAATTGCAAATATGAAATTGATACTAAATTAACGAGTTAACAATATATTTGGTATTTACAATATAATATATACAATAAATGTAATTTATAAAACATGAAACTGATTGGGTCTTATCCTGAGCACGCAGGTTTCATGAGCAGTTTATACTGAGCAGTATAAGTTTCATATAAATTCATATCATTTGGATTTGGTGTCATGCCACCTACCTGTAAGAACATTCATGAATACAAAATTATACGATATTTTAAATTATATGTAATACGTTTACATACTGTGGCTCTTTTCACGTATTGCTCGTATATGCTTATGCTTGCGTCTTTAACAGTAGGTAGCGTTACGACAGCAGCTGTAGATTCGAGAAAGGAGGCTTGTTGAATTAATTTCGAACGCAATTTAGTATGATCTATGGGATATGTTGCATTACGTCCTATTAAAACAAATCTGAAAAAAAAGGAAAATTTTTATACATTGAAATGTATAAAAAAAATTTCACATTCGTAAAAAAAGATAATATTAGTATTATTACCTTTTATACAGAATAATATCATTTCGTTTCGGATATTCTGGTTCTGTGCCATATACTTCTCTCATAGAAGGAAACAATGATTCAAATGAGATTAATTCTGAACTGTCTTTCGAAGTAATTAACTGAGAATCATCCATTTGTTGATGACTTTCATCTTCATCCGAACTTGAATCCTCGCTTGAGCTGCAACATAGAATCGATACTATTAATTAAATGTAGTTAATTATAAATATTTAATTTCTATTTATAATTAACTCCAAAGAATAATGATTAAATTTTGTACATACCTTGCACTGGACGTTGTACTGCTCGTACTACTCTGTCCAGTCATGGATGGATTTTTCATATTTAAATTTTTACTACCTGCTTCTTCTCTCCGTCTGCCTGGTCGTACGCGAACAGCAAATGGACTGTAGCAGGTGGTAAAGTGTGGCATAAAATCTCTGACAGAGTGACTTATTTTATAAGCATACACCTCAGATAGTAAAGACAATTCGTATGGCCTGAAATATTTATATGGCATTTATTTTTCAAAAACATAAATTGATAACAAATAATATGTAATAATGAAATAATTAGAGATGCTATACCTGTGATAATCATAATAAACATCAATCATTTCTTCCATTGAATTTTGCACTTGTATCATTTCTGAACAGGATTTAGTTACTTCGTCAAGTGCATAAGGAAGACATTTCAATACATTTTTATCCCACCACTGTGTCAGAAGTCTTCTTTTACGCGAGTAATGACAAGCAGGCAGATGATGGAGATAATAGTCCGTTAAATTTTCCCATATTGGAGGCTTACCTTCTTCAGGTATAAACAATCCTGATATACACATATTAATTAATCAATAACTGTTATTTTGCAAAGATTAGATATAGATATGTGTATAATATTTACCTAGAAATAAATTAATCGTGTGCTGTTTTTCTTGGTCGCTAAATGTATTACTGTAATATCTGCTTAATGTTTGCATAATGTCGTTACCCTGACTTGTCCATGGAGCAGTTTTTCTAAATGAAAATAGTTCGTATAATTAAAATTATTTTAATTTAACGTACCACTTGTTGAAACATAATAACACTCTCCTACCTGTACGTTTTAATTCTGTGTACTAGTTGTGAACCACCATATTGTAAAGCTAAAGTATCCCCATGATCCTCGTACAATTCTTCCAACATCCTCACGCAATCGGTATCAAATTCGAGTTTAGGAGATTCCAGTACACCCAAAGCACACAACTGAAACCCTAAGGCACATTTTCCTATTGCGAATTGAGCCGTATTAGTTCGGTCTAAGCAATCCACACAATTTGTTCTGATGATCCCAGTTTGCACAGTTCCTCTCTTAGTAAAACATTCCTTCACTGTATTTTGGATTTGATTTAATTCATTTGTTCTATTGATTTCTGCATTTGAATCGGAGCTGTGTATAGAACTTGTTTGCCTGTTGTAATCCGTTTTAATTGAAGTACTAATAGAGCTTCTGTTGTCATTTAAATTAGATGACAAAGTCGAGCTGGAACTCGTCTTGTGAAGTTTCCTCGTACTATTGTTTTGTGGTGAGAACAGGTTTCTCTGATTGTAATAAGGATTCTGTGACTGATAAATGCCAGTCTTTAATACGGCATTATAAGCAATGTTTGCTAATCGCCCCATAACGTTCACCTTTTTTCTATAATAATATAAAAGAGACAAACAAATTATAACAAAATTGTCATTCCGATATTATTTCAATGTTAATACAAACTTACCTTTTGCTCATACGTGCCATGTCAAAACTTATATATTGGATATGATGCTCCGGAGGTAGGAATTGATTCAAATATTTCACAGCCATACTCAATTCTTCGCTCAATGTACTCTCGTGTTTTTTCTTCTCTCGTTTTTTTACTAAATTTAATATTATTATCGGTGATCCGTATCTTTTCAACAGTTGATTAAAATGCGCTCCTGAAAGTATTTCAATTGTACGGGCATAAAATAATTTTATTCAGAATAAAATTCACTAATGTTTATATATCAATACCTGCTGTTTCTACATAGGGATCGGACAAATCACAAATTATAGTCGGTTTTGGAACCATTTTACTGACATCCTGACTCCAATGAGCAGGCACCGATCCGCGCATTTGTACGAAAGAACTGAAACGTCCTTTACTCAAAGAACTCACGCCAGAGTCGTGAACGATTTGTTCCGTTTCTACTTCATTCGCGACATCCCCCTGTATTCATATAATTCGATCAGTTCTATGAGAATATCTATGGAAAATATATCTATTTATAAATGCGTCTGTATTATACATACGTCAAAATTCGCACCACGTTTCAGAAAACGTGTTCCTGCATATTTGTTGCTCCTCCTGGCTATAACGGTAACGTACATAGATCTTCCAAAAATGCTCACATTTGACTGACCAATAAAGCCATGTATTATGTACAATATCCATTCGGGATGCAAATCCTTTTCTACTGGTTTCAAAAGGTGGGAATTCCACACAAAACGACGATGTGGATTACTGCGTATACTATAATCCATATATTTCTCGCTTTTGCTATAAACATGGATTATTATTATTATCTCATACATTTAAGTAAAATGTATATTTTTAAGTCTTCTTAATTAAGTTATGTACATAAAGAGACATAAACTGAGTATCGATTATCGAGATACTATAACATACCCTTCGGTCTGCCAATCTTTTCTGAATGCCCACATGTTAAAAAAATCTTCAGAGTCGTCCGATTCTTCAGATTCCTTTCCGCTGGTAGGCATATCGGTGAGAACGTCAGATTTAATACGCGTTGGCGGTGCCATGTTATTTTGAAAAGTATGCGATATATCATACGAATAACTGAAGTAGAAGTTACTGCTGAGATCAATGCTTTGAAACATCTTTACATATCTCTGTTCGTCGGGATGAAAGATTCGTATAATGTCATTTGGTATGTATATCATTGACGTATCTTCGACTTTATATATCGTATGATGACCAATAACTGCAACTCGGCGACGTTTTGTAACTAGGATTATGTAATATCCCTCCAAAAAACGTATAAACCCTGCATCAAATATTTCTTTACAAAATGTGTCTACAACTTATGATTAGTGTCAATTACTGGATATACTTCATATTTCCACTATATTTTCTAAAAATTAAAAAAGGAATTGGCTATATTGGCGATGGTTTGCTTGCATATTTTCTACATTATCCTAAGCACTACTAATTTTTGTAGCGGCCCATTGTCTAGATGGTATGTAATATCCATGCATTTAACCTAATTACATCACACGTGAGAAATACCAAATATGTAAGTATAAATATCACACCATGCACGAGAGAAGATATGTACATACCATAATGTACCATGGATGTCTGATAGCGAATATTAATTCTGTTAATCATATAGGGTTTATTCTAATTGATTGCATACTGGCCTATCGAATATCAACCGAATAACTCTGTATGATGTTGTTCAGTATAACCAATGCTTTGTCACATACATTTTCTTAAACTTAATACAAAATATTTTATTTTAAACCAATTAAAATTTTACCTATTATTTCTGTATTTAACAATCTTCATTCACACATCTACATGTTAACAGCCAATTAATATACTCCCCAAAAGCTAATTCACTCTTTACGCAACAAAGTTATTCCGTTTGCGATAACTATATACGTCTACCTTTGGCTTTGTCAATAAAAAGCTCATTATGCCTTACCAAGGAGAGCAAAAGCTGGCACTAGTCTTGGAAAAGTGTCTCTCTGCCACATATTCTTCCAGGTGAATTTAGTTTGTGTCGGTTTGTGCAGTGGTTTTTGTAATTCTTGTTGCTCAGGCTCCTCGGATATACCCGAACTAGGTGCAGGTTCTTTACTATCTTTGCCTTTATTAGCAAGCAAATGTAAGTAAGCTAAGTTTCGTACAACGCAATCAACAAATAATTCCGATAGATGCTTTTAGTATCTGAACAGTATAAGTATTAGTAACAGCGTGTAACAAGTTTTGTATGTAATAAGGTGAGAGTTAAGTGTAATCTTGGGCAAAGCTTGAAACACTGAGGAGCCTAAGCTTCGACATGTTTATCAATAATATAGACTAGTTGAAAGAGAAAGGAGAATGCGTATATATACCAGATAACTTAGAACATTTAAATAAAAAAAATCTGTACAACTACGAATGAGCAACTATATTAATACATATATATATATATATATATATATATATATATGTGCAAAAGCTTATGCGTGCTGCAATTAATAATTCTGTACTTGTTAATGTGCATCGTGGATGGAAACGCGTGTGCGTAATGAATCTTACCAACAATCCCGAAGGCGGACACGACGCGTGCAACACCGCCCACGTTGTTGCGCTGCCCCGCACGCGTACGGTTGCCCATGTCGATCATGTTGACGAGATCTTTTATCTCGTCCTGAGTATACTCCCTCTTGTCGTCCACCACGACCAGCTCCCTCGGTTCCATCCTGTCGATTTTCAGAACTCGAAAACGCGTCAACGTGTTGTTAGATCCCATCAGATAGAACCGCTGGAAACGTAAAGATGATGTAACGTATGTGACAACCTGCAGGTCTTGGGGATAACTGAGAGAAGTTGGAACGTTCAATTCGAGACTCACGGATTTCGTCTCGTACAGGGCAATTTTCTGTACGGAGGAAATAATCGGATGGAACACCATGGTCGGCTTGCCTTGTTCCTCCATGGCGATGCCTTATCCTGACTTTATCCCGAGACACACGATTGACTTCGACGAGCTGTCACATCCTAATCGTCTCTGTATCTCTGCTCTTATAGCAAACACAGCAGACAATACACAGGAAAACATAACCTTTAAATCGATTGCCTGATGATCTTTACTCCTAACCTTCCTAACATTTGTTTGATTGTTTGATATTTGTCGAGAGGGCGTTAGAGATGCACGATGCATCTCTGGAAGTTACGTAAATCATAAAAAATTAGAAAAGTTTATTTTTTTATATCAAAAAACACAATTTCCTCTTACGCAAAATTTACTCTCAATCTTATGTACAAAAGATATCTCGAATGTCGAAATTAAATGCAAAGGTGATATCCAGATGTATTGATAGATAACATAAAAGACACATCGTTTTAATTCAATATAATTACCTTTTATTATTTGCCAGCATTAACATTAGTAATGTCAATATAGGATCGCAGTACCAGAAGAGTCTATACAATTTATTATCTACATAATACCCGCTTATTCTATTTAGATAATGTTCAATACTTCTTTTGCAATGAACACGAGTGACTGTAATGTACAAACACCGACGTATGCGGCTGTGAATAAGAAGAGCGCCTTATCCTTTTTGCCACCTGCCAAGTACACCGGCTTGTCGATTACAGCCTGCAAACAGGAAGAAAAGTATGTTGAAGGTAAATCTGCATTCGACAAGTTTACTCGTAGTCGCAACGTCATTTCGTTATGCACAACTTGCCTGGAAGTGCTTGTATTTTGCCCACATTTTCGGGTCAAGGGTGGGTGGTTTGTCGGTGCAGTAGCTCGCCTTGGGCGTCACCATCACTGGCTTTGTCTTGACGGTGTCAAAAATTATTACCGGGTCCCCCTTTTGTAAAGGAAGAGGAGACTGAAACATAAAGGACATTTACTGCATCAGCATGTGTACTAAATAAAAATATTAACATAGAGAATCGTTCGAGAACTGTCTGTCTTTCTTTCTCTCTCCAGAGAGAGCATACAGATGAAAATATATTTATAGAATATAGACCAAACTCTCGTATATCTATATATGTCTACTCATCGATCATTCTGTTTCCAAAGCATTGACGATTACAATTAACATATGACAGACCGATTCAAAGTATACACTTCAACCATCATATTAATCATCATCATCATAGCATATTGTGTTGTAACGCGAGATCTGATAAAGATGTTACATGAACGTAGGTCCGCAAGTCGACATGGCCGAATCGCTACTCTACGTTTCGATAATCAGACCCGATAACGAACAATTGACAGTCGATCACCGAGGGGGAGGACAACACTCGGGGAAAAGGAACGCGAGCACCTGCGATTCCGCGGAAGAAATGATGAAACGTGCGGATCGGCGATACCCTCTCGGGGACTCGGCCGAGGCCGACGGCCGTCACGTCGATGAGTTTTCGTGCGCGAGACAAGGACCGCGTGCATCATCACTTACGAGGGGGTACAGCGGCTGAAAATTGACGGACGGCTTCAGCTTGCCGGTGAACGAGTTGTACTGATAAAACGGCATTTTTCGCAATTGCGCAACCAGGCGGTCACCAGTCGACGACTCGGTTGTGTCTCCGCGCGATCACTGGAGTCCACACTCCACGGCCAGTGCCATAAGACCACTCCGTCGTCGCTAGTCGCCGCAAGTCGGCGCAGCCGCTGAGCAGTCGTCAGTCGATAACGTGATTCCTTAGGCGGGAAAGATAAACGGCGAACGCACGCGAAATTGCCGATTTCCACGGAGATAAGGGGACGGCGATGAAAAGGACGATCGGGAAGAGAGTTTTAAGAATAAAAATTTCCGTTGTTTTCCACGGAATCTCCCACAATCTGATCGTTCACAAAACGCAGCCTCGAAGTTTCATCGATGGAATGAGAGGCTCCTTCGTAGATAATAGGAGAAAATCAGTTTAAAAACACCTTACTTTTCCTCGTCAAAAACATCTTGCTTTATCCTGAATTTTTAAAAAATATGAAAGGCTCAGGAATTGGCAGAATTACGCGATTAAATCAGAAAAAGACCAATCAAAGTCACTCCGATGTTTTTGTAGTAGTTTATTATCAGTACTTTACGTCGCAATGTATTTAGCCTGCGTATCACGTATTCATGCATCGATAATCAATACGATTGACTACAAATATCAATTAAGAGTACACCAGTGTAAGACGTACCCTATTATGCTCATCTGAACAAATGTGTGTCGCGTCAGTCGCGTGCACATGTGGTATTGATGATTGCCACGATAATGCATTTTTATCAGCGCGATTTTGCTCATTTTTTGTAAAAGAATTCGCACAGGTGATCTGTTCATTTACCATGTATTCTGGAATATTTCAAGCTACGCTGCTTTAAGTCGAAGCCTTGCCGCATCTCGCAGAGCACAACGTTATTACATTCGACTATTCGAGAGACTAGCGCACTCTGGCAGTAGTTGTTACGAGGTTAGACACAGTTGTGTACTGAGCCCCCAAGAGTCTTGTTGTGGACAGTGTGAAACGGTATTATCAAAGTCTTCATAATAATATCTCGTATTCCAATTGTAATCCAATTATGAAATATAAAAGCGGGACTTTAATAGAGAAAATTATGTCGAATTGTAATAATTTTAGTTTCTTGCGTATACGTGGTGGTCATGGCCATCACTCGCTCTTCCACAATTCCCTTTCACTGAAACTTATTTCACATTATATTATACCTATGATACGGGACGCAAATAACATGCTGTCTACTTTGTTTCAGATGCTAGATGATGTCACAGTGAAAGAGAGGGAGAATCACTGCTGATAAAAATTATCATCTCAGGAATAATATTACAGATCCATAAATATACCTATATAGTTTCTAGAAGCATTGTCACTCGAGACACGATATCTCGAAGGTAAATTCTCTATCTTTTCACAGATGGATGTGCGTGTTTTAAATTACATACCACTGATAAATGTATGTGGAAATATACCATATAGATGTTTGATATTTTCTTATATTGTTTAACGTGCGCATAATTTATCGCGCATGATGGATTCTACAGAAATACAGAGCACCTTTTAAGCATAATTGATTGTAGTAACTTCATGGAAACGCGTTGTATCCAGATAGTATCTTGATTTATTGATTTATCAAAAGCACATGCACATCCAACTGTGACAGACCACATTGTGAAACATACATCTGACGTCCTTGTATAAATTTCAGGATCTCTGTATTGGAGGGTTTTTCATCTGGATTTATTTCAATTCGGGATGGCGTGCAGTTTGTAATTACAATATTAATAACACCATAAAAAAAAAATTCCTCAAGGACTACGTTATCCTGTGAAACCAATGGTACTGAGCTACTGTATACATTGCATTGTGCTAAGTCAGCTAAGTTGTAAAAGTTATCATCAAATCGTGTGATTGCCATCAAGAGTCGACATTAATAAGATGTCGAATATGCAACTTGGTTAACGTTGAATCGTCGCATTAACCAAGCACAAATTGTTTCAATGTCTTTCCACTATGGCAGCTCTATCATGCACTGTTTTACCGGTAGGGTGCCAGCGATTCAAGGCACGTCATGGCTGAAAGATGTATACACAGTCATACAGCTTTGTGATTTGCAGCAATGTGTTAATGCATTTCATTAGATTCCAATATGTTGTATTGTGATATGAGAGACACGCTGTAACAAATATCCATGGTAAAGGGATCAGATATGTGTAGGGGACTAAGGGTCGGCTTTAAACTCTATGAATGGAAATTTTGTACTGTGCTTCATGGTGTTGATTGATAGAGATAATGCGTAGGAGGGAACCTGTTCTAGTATCTTGTGCAGATAGTGGTATTGCGAAAATATTGACTAAATCATTGCAGTTTTTTTACAATCATAAAGAATCTTGCGAGAATCACTCAAAATTGTAGAGTCCAACAAGAAAATAATATTTAATATTTTTCATCTAAGAGTGACAACCTGTTTTCAGGATCGTTTTAGTTCGAGGTCCCGACGCCTGGGACCGAAGGTGCATAAGAATCGTAGAATCGAGGACAAATGGGGACAACAGTATCACAGGGCTGTGCAGAATACTGTGTTTGGCAGGCAATGTCTACCTTACATGCCAACGGAACCGCCGGCGTCATTGAGCGAAGAGATTGTGGAGTCTGGTCCGTTGTACGTGTGTAAACAATGCAAAGATTGGTGAGTTTGGATAGAGTGTTCTAACAACCGCGTTAAGATACGACAGAATTTTATGATTCATCTCACTATCTTACTATATAACTGTAAGCTACAGCACACGCGTATATACGAGTGATCTTTGTTTCAGCTTTCGTTTTCAAAGCAGTTTTGAGGATCACAACACGCGGCACAGCTGGATCTTAGGGCTCTGGTGTCACATGTGCTTCAAAACAGTATGTACTCACATAAGCGAGACGGGACGTTCTACGTGTATAAAATGTTCTACGTGCATAAAACAGCACAGCGATAAACGTGCGTATTTGCGAGCGAGAGGTTTAAATAAGAGTCAAAGATGGGGAGCCGTAAGAGTATTCTACAACCAGTGCCAATTTATCGAGCATTTAAAAATGCATCGATTAAGCTCTGTAAATATGGGTGATTTGATGTTGATACCTCTACCTCTTAACATGAGCAGCAGTGATTGGTCTCCTGAATTTGAAATGCTATGCGAAGCACTTATGGAGCAGACATTTTTGTTGCGCATACATATTATAGATTGGTTCAAGATGCATAACTTGCAAGACAACTGGTGGAAGCTGGTCAATGGCAAAAGTAATGACAATATAATAAGTAAGATTGTTGACGGTTACCAGGGCCGACAAATATTTGAAACAAACTACAATTCTTCTGACGCTACATATGACGATAGCAAAAGTTCTCTGGACATGGAATTTGACAGCAATTTCATGGATAAAAATATAGACAGCTATTCCGCTAGTATAATCTCGGACAAGAATATCTTGGAAAATGAAGATAATCCGTGTACAGCAACTGACATCACTTTTGTGGATTGCGGTCCTGCTTCACAATGTTTCGAACCAGAGATACCAGTGAATTGTGAGACACATAAGAAACAATCAACAGCACAAGAGATAAAAAATTGTCGCCTAGCTAATACAGTCAAAATGAATAATAGAACAACGAATGAAACTTTTAAGAATCGCAATTCACTCGAAACGAATACGATTCATGAAAGTGCTGTCATCGCAAAAGCTGGCAACTACGGCTCTAGTAAAAGTCTAGCTATTATACAACCAACATTCAAAGATTATGTGCAACAACGTAAGACAGCTCAACCTCCTGTAAAGAAAACTGCAAGGAACAATCCTAATAAACTTATAACCAAAACTGGCGTCAGTAAAATTCCGGACAATTCATTTAAGATTAGTATTCCATTTCCTGCTAAGACAAGCAATATTAAGACTAATTTAGATCCTTCAAGTCTTCAGACAACAAGAGTAAATAATAACATATTAACTCTTCAAGATCCAAAGAATATTGCATCAATAATTAGCCAACTTCCACCTCATTTTATTTCCAACAAGAAAGTAGTTTTTATTGGGCAGGATTGTAACGTGATCGCCCATGGCGAGAATGAGGTGATCACCAAAAAAGATTCAAGCAACTCGCTAGTGGGTAACGGAGGTACAGGTTCAAATACGTCAACGCAGATTGTGTGTGATTCCAATGCCAAGAAGCAAGAAATCACTGGAAAAATTATAATGAAAGACGGAAAGAAATATATTATTAAACGTACAAAAGAAATCATGAAAGAGTACCAAAAAATATTACCAAAAAGATCTCCTAATTTATTAACTGTGAAAAATGTCACGAAAGCTACAAAACAACTAGCATTCGAGCACAACGTTTCAAAGCCAAAGTTAACGTCCACTAATTCTAACGAAAACATTGGCGTACAGCAAATTACTTCGCTTCACAACAATTCCGTTCTAACACCTTCGCCATCTCCTTCTGAATTGTCCAGCAGTTCCAGTTGCGAATTGCACGTTAAGAAATCAGTTATGCCAAAATTACAGGAGGTACCTCCGCATTTAATACCGATATCCGCTATGGCGGCCCAGAAATATATATCGGAAACGATATCGCTGATCAAGGAAGAAAATGGAGATCTTTATATGGATATAAAAGTAGTAGATCGTATTGCGAAAGAAAGCTTTCTTTCTGTGTGTGATGTAATAGTAAAATATAGACGAGAAATGTTTGACGAGTTTTATCAGATGAATAATCTGGAATTGAAAGAACGACTTGAGCATCTGCAATGTGTTACTGAAGAAATGAGACAAGTTTTGAATTTCATATCTGACGCTGTTTTTAAAGAAAAGTTAAGGGCTGTCAATACTCTCCGATGCGTAATAGAAGTATGTTTCGAAAAATGTAATCAGGATGTACAGAACAAGAAAAACGATGACGTAATATTAAACGAATGGGAAACGAGGATGGAGTCAGTATACAAATGTCTGTCATGCGACAGATTTATCAAGCCTAAATCATATATAGCTGGCTTTTCAAAATTACCTAAGAATGCTAATGCATATTGTTCTTGTTACAAACAAGTTTGTCACGAGTGTCAATCCTACCAAGGCACCACGTCGCGATTTATCGCGCATCAAAACTACCATAAGAAGAGTAAACCTTACATTTGTCCGGATTGCGGTTCCAAATTTAATTCTTTTACATCTTTAGAGATTCACACGTGGACTGCTTGCTTTCATATGTCGAAAAAGATTACATTTACTTGTAAAATTTGCGAAATAGATGGCTTTAGGGATCTAGAGTCGGTCACCAGACATTTTGTTATCATGCATAGCAAGACGAAGGTAGGTTGCGAAGATTGCTCCCGGGTGTTTACCTTGTACAACGAGTACGTACAGCATTGCACGGAGACACATCCGTCTAAGACAGAGCAGAATCCAGTACGGCTGGGGGGGTGTAAATTAAGCAACGTAATCTTACGTTGCGAGAATTACATGTTATATTTGGAGAAGTATCCTGGAATTCGCAAATTAGTATGGTTCAAATGTCCCTGTTGCCATTTAATAACTACAGATAACAAACACGTGTCGAAGTTAATGAACACTCATATACGAGATAATCATGTGGAACGAATGTCGAAAATTCTTAGCAAAGAAGCGTTTACCGAAATTTTTGGTACAAAATATTTGAAAGCTGATAAAAATTTTATTCAACAATTTTTCAAGGTAGTTTCCGACAATACATTTGCAAACGAGGTACCATGCACGGATGACACCATGATGCCAAAAATCGTGAATACTCGGACTATCAGTTCAGAAATATTCGAACGTGGCTCTCAGAATACGGAATGGTCTGCAGATGCTGATATGGCTGTCGCCGAAGATTCACAAACAATGAAGAAAACAAATGGTAAGGAAAGAAAAGACTTATTGCCAAAAATAATCAACGTTAGATCGATAAATGATTTAAAGTCATCCAGATCTAAGGAGGCAATCACGAAATTAGACGATAGCAAGTCGAGTAGCCAGGAAGAGACAGCAAAAGAGCTTGATGAAGATAACGAATTAAATGCTTCACACATCTCCGAATCTGAAAAGCCTCCATTAGCAGACGCAGTTGATGTCCGTGTAAATTCATCAAATAAATCGAGTAAAAAGGTTTCGAATGCCGTATCCGAAGCAAGCACGGACAACCGTAAAATAAAAATAGTTGACTTTAGGAAAATATGTAAACCGGACATCGAGCAACACGTTATCGCGGAAATGTGCGATATACGGAAAGATGAAAACGCAAGCTACATGGCATCTATACCAAAACCTCCTCCGCTTACCAGAATCCCGCAACATTTACTTGAGGCCAATAAGCCGGAAAATGGGTCGGAAAATGAGCCGGTCGACGGCTCAAAGAAATCGAAATCAAAGAGGTCTTCTGTCCGGGGAGCTGACAAGTCCAAAGTTCGTATCGCTCTAGGGACAGACGTACAAGAGGAAGAAAGTATTGATTATCTATGTCACTTGTGCAACGAACGGATTAATACTTCTCAGTTCGTGGTGCAGGCGCACTTTCGTGAAAAGCATTCGGACGAATACAGAATGGCGGTAGTCACTCCGCAGTTATCGCGAATATCGCACGACTTTATTAATGGCGGCTATAAACAGTTTATTAACAACAAGAAGCGGAAATCGGACAGCGCTTTATACGTTTGTAAAAGGAAGCGTCGTTGGACGCCGAAGAAGCACGTAGAGACGAAGGATACGAATTCACAGGTAGGATTATGCGTGAAACAGGAGACGGCGGAGGATGGCGACGGTAATTTTATATGCAAGAAATGCGGTCAACGATGCGCCGATATGCCTGACCTGAGGGAGCATATCGCCGCCAATCATCGACTGAAGGACCGCTACCTGATATGCTTAGAATGTGGCGAGAACTTCGTTGTCGCGCCCAGCTTGCAGATGCATCTCAAGGCTTTCCACGGCATAGACGATCCGGTTAATTATATGAATCAAAACCCCTCTTACGCCCCTAGCTTTGACGGTGATCTGCAAACGGAAGGGAGAACGACGGTGGCTAATCAGTGCCACGTCTGTATGGCAGTTTTCGAAGATAAAGCTGCGGTAGACAAGCATCTGAGGGTGCACGGCATGGCTTTCCTGAATCGTAAGAGGATAGAGGCGAGAAACGCCTTGGAGAAAAAGGCTAATACGGAGGAGGAGAAGCAAAATATTGTTAAAGACGATTCGAAGGAGGCTGCGAAAGGAAATAAACCAGCGGAAACAATCCTAGATAAAATTAATGTAAGTAATTAGATTTGTCACTTGCCAAAAGTAACATTATCGATTTCACAATTACCAAATTGAACGTTAATTGTTTCAGGCGGCGATATAGCTACAGAAGATGAAGCGCGTAAGGGGAAGATGTGTGGAAGGAAGCAATGCTGTAATATAATAGATTCATTAATCTTACTTATAACACCCGCGTTTCTGTATATTTGCGCGTACAACCCTTCATTGTTATTCCTAAATATTGCATCAATGAATCAGTAGATCTCTTTTTTTTTCTACTACGTGTACCTTGAAATATATTACTTTCTTACGTAATATTATTCAGGCGAACAGATAGAAAATGATTTATTAATCGTTAAATCGTAATGATGCGACCGTAACGGCAATAGAATATAAATATGATTATAAGAAATTAGATAATAAGTAAGTTACATTAAGTCTGACAAAGAGCAACCAAGAAGCCTGATATTTAAATTCATCATTTTTTTTAATAAAAATGACATTTAAAAATTATGTATACTGTCAAAAGATCATTTTTTTCGTGATATACGTATATTTACCAGTTTATTATTATAGTTGAAAAATTAATATGACTTATATTTGAAAAATATTTATTATAACTATTATAAATACTTTATATAAATATATACATATATATATTTATATGAAGTACTTATAATAAATACTAGGTTTATAAATAAATATATGTATATATAAACAAAAAATGACGCGCGTAAGTATATTAATTCGAAATATACTGTCCTACATAAGATGTAAGAAAATGTAAATAATTATTTTATTAATAATACAACGGGTTGATGTCTTTTTGTATCATATTGTTTTGCTTAGATATTCTGACTTATGACATGTAAGAATAAAAGATTACATTAATTGAATATTTATCGCATTAATCATCTTTTAATGAACTTTAGAATGGATATCAACGTAATGCGATACATCAACGAATGGATATCAATATAATAAAACAAATGGATAGAATATATATATATATAGTTCTTTATTATATCATTCTTATTTGCACAGACAATGCTGATTATTGCTTAATTGGTAAAGTATTTTTATTGATTGACACATCGAGATACCCGAGTTACGAAACCAGTCGGATAGCAAGACTTCGGAAGGAAACCCTTTCGCGGGAATATGTCCTCTTATCTACATATTTATACGTATATACGTTTATACTCGGTGGCATGAAAATATCGGTACATTTCAATACGTATTCACGCATGTTACAAACAAAACGTTCTTATTTTAAAATTTTAAATCGCTTTTTCGAGCAGATATATATGTATTTTCATTGCATATGAGCGCAGGTACTAGAGAAAAGGTTTGGGGCACTGAACACTTTGATTGCAGTCCCGTAAGGGTATTTACAGTTTGTCCTCTCTGAAACATTTTAGCGTTTTCGAATTGCGAAAGTATTCTATCTTCGAATATCCGGTGATTACATCATCATTTATAAATCGAGTATTTTAAATTAAAGTGACGTTAAAGTTTCCCAACTTTTTGATCTCCGCCGATTCTTCTCGATCGTTAGCAGAGAAAACAGAGGTAAAACTTTAGTGTTTTTTTTTCGAAAACAATATACTTCTTTTACGATACAACTTGTATCAGGGCCAAGATTACCGAATTCATTCCATTGCAAAAAGAAAAATACTTAAAAGGATATCATAAACGTTGGTCCCGTTTTATAATCCTCCAAGACAAACGTATACTCTTACGGGTCTTAAAATTTGCTTTTTTTTCTCTTTTTTTTGGCACAGTTACTAGCGAACACACATGTTTGAGATTACATTGCGATTGGTCCATGATCCTCGCACATTTGGGCATTACGCGAACAAGAAATCTATGTACATTTACACGTACGCCACACCTTGTGTAGTCTCCGCACAATCATGACGCACCGTATTCCGCTTATTGATTTGAGCACGAATAAAGTCAGCTCTCGCGTCAAGTTGAGCCGAGTGTCTATATTGTCTTTTCCCTTTGGTGATTTATATTGCATTAATTGTCGATTTTATAGCGTTCCACTGCACAGTTTCCGACACTACTGAATCGATATAACGCTCAATAAATAATCAACTGTAACGTTAATTAATAAACAACATTATCACTATTTAACGTTGGATTGTGAATTGACTATCGAAAGATCTACTCGGTTTTTAAAATGTTGATTTAAAGCTACCTAATATAATGCTATATTTTATTGTAATTATATATGTATATATATATATATATATATATGTATATAATTTTCATGTATTGTATACTGACTCTGTTGCGAAAATTCTAGTTCATAACGCGCCTCTAATTACTTTAATTATCTCTTATCACGCTGCATGATAATCTTCCTTCATCTATCACACGAAACATCTAAATAGAGATTTTCAATTTGTTTTAGATTGTCTAAGCGGCTACGGTAATTAGGAATTTTGATAGAATCGCTGTCCCACTTTCTCGGGAGGACCTCGAAATGTTAGACGTTGCAAGTGGAACACGAGAAAATCAACGTAGTTTTCTCCCTAATATATCTTCTCTCTCTCTTAAACTTTGATAAACTTTATATCACTTACAACAAAAATTGCGTTACCATCACGTGCACGATATTTTTACGTTACGGAAGTCGGTCTCTTCTCCTCGCGGGAAGTGCCGACACGACTGTCGACATCGGCGTTCAATTCCTCCCCTGGATTATCCAAGTCGATCACCGAGATCACCGGGCTCATAGGACGAGGCCTCGATTCTTGATGGACGTTTGACACGGTATCCCGTTGAGTTTCTGGAGTGGAATCGTTCTTCACAGAATCGCTAGTGGCACCTATTATTTTCAGGGACGAGGAAGACGACGAACTCGACCGCGTCGTCTTCGACTCGTGTTCGGCCGGACTGACTGCCTCCTCGCTGTCGTTCTCTCGGAACAGCTTCCTCAGATCGCTGCCCAGTCTCGCGTCGACTGGACTCATCTTCGAGTCTACGGCGACAGTCAGGGCTAAAGAATCCGGTGGTTTCTTGACTCTGACAATATTGGCCGTCGCAGTGAAGGAAACCCTGATCTCGCTCGTGGTCGACACGTCGGAGTTGGGACTGCACGAGCCGCGAGACGTTGTTTGAGTAGTCTTCGGTTTCGTCGCGTCATCCATCGAGTGCCAACGATGCGGTCTCGCGACCGATGTACCTTGTGCAATGGCGCTTAAACTGTTCGCCGGAATTATTCGATGAGGGAACCGCGGTGAGCCGCGTATCTTCTCTCGAGAAGACGACTGACTCGTGCTCGTCTCTGAAACATTTTAAACATCGCAGTGTTTGTATTTAAAAGCTCTCTCTTTAGAACATTTTTACGAATTTACAAGATGTATTACGCAGCGAAAAAAAAAATTACAATCATATCTCTCCTTTCTGAGAGAGAAACCGATATTTTTATTATATCGAAATTAAATTAATAAATCCGATATTTCTGTAAAGGCAAAAATGTTTGAAATAATATCTGTGTTTAATTGTGAGATAATATATGTTGAAGTTAGGTCACACTTACGTGGTGGTAAGCTGAAATTTACTTTAGGCTCGCTACTTTCCTTACGACGTAATCCTACTAGGCTCAACCTACGGTCTTCCTCACTAGTAATGCTAATTATTGGTCCTGAACCGCATCGTGTTTGAGGCGAGTGAGTGCCTTGGGCGTCCACTTGGCAAGTAGAGGCAGCTTTCGCGCCGGGCACTAAACCAGCGATATATCCCATATGGACTCGAAGCGCCGATGCAACCCCTAATGAAGGTAATATTAAGCAGGATAAGTCGCATATATTAAATATGTGGATGAATTATACGAAATGCGAAAGCTAAACACGAAATATAAACCGCATTCAATCAAAATGTGAAACCTATAATGTTACACATGTTATATAATACGAAAATAACTTTTCTCTTCCCCTCTGCCTCTCAATTCACAAACGATTATAGACCGCAATGTGAATCGAGTTCAAATAATTTGCATTTATTCCTCACAAGCATTTCACGACTGAAAGCGAACAAAAAGCGCAAATTATTCCAATGTAATGGACAGATGGTCCCAATTGGAATTTTTACTTTTATTTTGAATTTTCGCTCATAGTTGTACGTGTGCTTTTGTAAAAATGTTCCTTTGTGCGAGAAATTTGCTCGCTTCTGACGTAGCAATATACATATACCGTTAAATCGTATCTATATCGTACCGTTTTAAGGTGTAAAGTGCCTCGATTCTTTTATTCCCCGGCGCTTTTCTCTTACCGGTGAACGACGCGGTGGAGGTTTTCCTGCTACTCGGCCTGCTGCCGAAGAGGCTGAAGAGCCGTTGAAAAACGCCCAGCCGATTCGGGCCCTCGGTCTCCCGGCGACGGTGCAGCTTGTAAAGGTCGGCCAGGCTTTGTCTGGGATCGCCGGGCTCCAGATCCGGTTGACTGCTAAATGCTACGGTACCGCGACGTATGCCTAATTTCAACAAGGGCCAAACTCGTACATGACGCGAAACCACCATTATGTGTCGAGCGATCATTATGATGGACGCGCATTATTGACGCCTGGGGTTTCTACCCTCCTAGCAGTCGGAATTCCGCATTAGGCGAAAGCGCGCGCGAGTTTAGACGACAATTATGCGGAAGTGAGTCGTGAATCCGATGAATGTGAGTCCGCGCTCGCAACAGGAAATATTCCTCTAAATATTATCCGAAAGAAAATTATTTATCTATCTAAATGAATTTAATTCCACGAAGATATGAACCAAGAATCTTTTTATACTTTGATCGATTTACGTTATTCATTTAGAACGACAGTACTATATTTCTTAATGTCGCTGATTAGACAATCGTTTTATTTTATTTCAGATTTGTTGCGACGCAAGTGCTCCAAATTTTTGCTCCATGAGATCAGTATTCCCGCGTAATGTCCTAATCGGATTACGACTGCAGGTTCAGTATGAAAATCGTCTTCAGAGTAGGAGAAGAAGGAGGGTAAATATGTATATATGTCTTTCATAGTAGTAAAATGTTAAAACGTTTCTTACTTTTCTGTATTATGTATTTTTGGGAACGACAAGCCGAAATGTTCTTTGATATAATTATATTCCATTCGAAATTTCGTCATACTTAGCCAGGAAAATTTAAAAAACCGCTAATATAACGCGAATCGTAAATTATGTGTCAATCTGAAGTTGGCAAAAGCGCATATAACGATTCACATCTTCAACTAGCTTATGAGACATGTTCGTTATTGAAATAGTGGCATTGATACTTTGACATATAAAGGAACTCCAGATCAATAATTACTAAATATTTCCGTCACATGAGTTTCAGTGCACCGGCACTGCGATATGTGGTGAGTACATCGTATATCATGTACGCAGTATGTAATTTACGTAATGTAGGGACATACACCGGATATACTCACACTATCGGCGAAGAATATTTCGACAGTGTCGTGAATGTCGTGATAGATTAGACATAGATATTTCCGAAAGGAAAACTGTAACTATATTTTTTTTCCTCATTCAAGAATCATCTCTTCTTAGAAAATCTCAATTAAAGCGTATAAAATTGCATCGATATCAAGATGCGTTTGAATGAAAAAGATATTTGAAATCGGGTCGTCGCGTCGTTTTCTTCGGAGAAAACAGCTTTGGAAACTTTTCACGGTGTTCACGATTTTTCCGGCAATGGCGAGAGAGACACTCCGTATGCATGCATACACATAAACCGGCGCGCAACCTTTGACCTCGTTCGATTCGGTGTCATGGTAGACATTCAGAAATATTGGGGTGGAACGTGCAGCGTACATACGTACGTGTACTCGTGTGCGGAATTGTCCGGACTTATCGAGGGGATTCTGGGATTTTGGAGACACGAGTGTAATGCGAGACCCGAGAGAGCTCGAGGATCGATATACGTATATGCCGGAAACGCATCAACTCTCTTCGCCCAACGAGCTCTTGCTTGCTAATAATACTGAATGGTATTCTCGCGATCACGGTCAAGTTGATGCGAACGATAATTGGTACACGCGGAACACGGGGAGGAGGGTACTCGATACATGTCTTGCGTTCCGGCGTGTCGCCGTCGGTGAATTATCGGAGCGTAAATATGCATGTGCATGACAGTTGAAAGCGGATATTCCGCGAGGCAAACGCGCGGTATTTGCGCTGCAAATGGCAAAGTGAGACGGCGAGTTTTCGAGGAAAGTTTCCCTTTGTCAGTAAGCGCTCGACAGATAGGAATAAACAAAATCAATTATATGCGAGGCGCACGTGTTTTCCGCGCGTCGCCACGGCGTAAGCGAATAAAATAATCGCGAGTGATTATTGCATTTTGTTCATGCGGTCTGTAAAAAAAAGAGTAGATCAATTAAAATGAGAATGGAGAGGGATTTATTCCTGCGAAATTGAACACCTACAGCTATTCGACGTGGCCTGGTGTGATTGAGAGTCTAAAGTTAAATAACTTCTAAAACTCTATTTTAAAGAGGATTGTCCACTGCTACTTTGCTCGCTGTTAAGTTCTTGCTCCGCATTATATACAAAGCTTCTGGGATATTTTCACGTAACACATTTACAACGAATAATTAATGCACTATAATTAAAATCCCCGCGACAGTGTTTTCGAGTATACTTTTGCGCATGCATTACATGTATGTTACTTTTCTCTGTAGAAGCGATAACCGCTTCATCACAAATCTAATTTACGAAACGCGCGGGAAAGATCTCGAGAAAAAGTTCAAATAAAAACGCTTTTTTTTTTATTTTCCGCTACACTAATATCTTCTATAACTCGAGCTCTCTTTTCTCACGCTTTAACTCAGGCAGGGCGAGCGTGAGCGAACGTTTTTTTTTTTTCAGGCAATTTACGTGCAATAAAGGAATTTCTGTCACCTTCCTTGGACATCTGATTGACGAAAAAGAAACGACGAAAGCGAGAAAAATATTAATAAACTTATGATTCCTTCCTTCTCTCCTAGCTAGCGAAGCTCGATTCGTCGTGCAAGTTTTGACACGTCTATTCCTGTCTTTCGGCGCTTTCGTTTCGATAATCTGCCAGTCACACTTTCGTCACTTCAAGTATTTCCATCGGTCGAAACTTTGGTTTCGCACCTTTAATATAAATAATGCATCTCGCCGAAGAAGGTTTCGGTCGTCCCTTCATAGAATTCAATGCGAACCCTTAGCTTCCCAAATTTAGACTAATGAAAGTCAATCTATCGTTCCGCAGAATGCCACACGTATACGAATTGGCTCTGTTGATCCGATCAATATTGTGTCATCTCTTTCGTGAAGACGTTCCGATAGCTTTCGCTGTCGCGATTTGTCTAACTGTTGTCTTTTAGAAGGATTGATTCAAACGAAGATTGAGCGTCGAAAATAAATCTAAGTGTTTAATCGAGTACAGGTCGGAATAGCGTTGTTTTTGCACGGCGGATCTCCATATCGCGACTATGTCGATTTACTGCACTTACCGGACGAATCTGCGGAGGGCCAGCTAGCTCGGGGGATAACCGGCGGCAAAACACTGAGCAGTAAAAGAGGTAAGCCGCCCCCGATACTTGGATTTCGTTGTGGGATCGAGGCGCTTGATGAGGCGCGTGACGTCTCCACTGGCTCTTGCGCCAGTTGCTTCTCCAATCTGGCCAATTCCAGTTCCAGCTGTGCCATCTCACGACGATAAACTCGATTTTGCACCTCCACGCGATACTGTAACTCCCTGCCGAAGTACGATCGTTTTTAAAGGAATGCGAAACTTTAAATTATTCAGACAATTTTCACAAATATCACTTTCATATATATATATATATCCTCTTATATCCAATATGTAATTATTAACTATGCTACATATTTAGAAATTTGTCGATATGAGCGAGATAAAAGTACGTATATAACGGATGTAGATTTTAAAGCGGTTAAAACGTAGACCAATTCTGTTCCGTTCGAGTTGTTCAATAATAAATAACGTAGCAATTCAATCGCCTCTTAAATTTTCTAAACATTTTATTTATGAAGCGGCCGCTGCTCGTTACCCGAAAATCGAGCGATGCGATGCGATTTCTCTCTCAGCGTCCGCAGAAAGAACGCGAGGGAATTCTAGCTCGTAGGCGAGATAAAGGGATATCGCGTCTGGAGGTCAATCCGCCCCATCGATTATCCCCCGCGGTGAGAACGTTGGGTCTTACCGTCTCTTCTCTCACGACTCTTGACTTTTCTGTTTTCTTCATTCCCGCGTTTTAGTTCGAGAAGATGCATTCTCTCGCGCTGGCCACTCACCTTCTGTCGTCGGTGACGAATCTACGCGTGTTGCATTCGATCTTGAGACCGAGACTCTGCACGACCGGGTCGGCCCTCTCCCCGGCCAGGATGTTCGCCAATTGGGGCAGAAAGAGGAGCGCCAGGGTCGCCGTGGTCGAGGCCAGAATCAGGGCAGTGATCGTGACAAAGGCCAGGGTCGCGCGGTCGGGCATCAAGTTGGCTAGCACTACGACGATACCCGACGTGATTACTACGAAGTACACGCTCATACCGATGTATTGCGAGTCGTTTAGGGCTGGAATCTTTACGTGCCTGAAACCATCAGCGATTTCACTCGTGTATTGCATATCTCCGTGCGAACTGGCACTGATGTTCGGCGCAATTTGACTTAGCTTATACACAGGAGGCGTATGAAACGTCTCTCGGTGGACTGTTTTATTTAAACCGCTTACGATCAATCAAAGGATAAGCTAAGCAGGACCGCGGTAATATCTCCTGTGAGAATTATACAGATATGCGAGAAATTAATAGCGGGGGTTTGCCTTCAAAACGACATGAAGTATGCAATGGATTATCTCTATTATCGGGGGAGCTGGCCTGCTTTGCGGTATCCACGGACTTGGAAACGTCTTTATCCCTAAGCTCACCTTGTTTCCCAGGCCATGTAAACTCCGACTACGAGTAATAAACCTTTGTAAACGTAGAGAGCGCTTAACCAGCCGTTCGTATGCTGCGAACGGCACACCTCCACCTGCAAAGGCAAATAAAGGCACGAGTTAATTGGCCGCGGTTCGTTAACGTTAATCACTGTGGCAAAACCGTTAGGTCCATAGTCGTCGCCATGATACCTCTCGAGACGGCGAAACGAAGTCGAACGCGAAGTCTTCCGTTTCGTATCACTTACTTGGGGCTGATAGACGACTCCCCGGTCCTGCGGGCTTATCTCTAGAGTAAGATTTTGCAGGTGACGTTGCATCGGGTCCAGAATCACCCACAGGGTCACCACGACGACGTCGATCACCAGGAGCATGCAAATTAAGAATATCAGCTGGGTATCCTGGAGCAGCTGAAAAGCACGAAGCGATAACTGCGATTTATGAGTCTAACTGGGAGCATCGATTTCGCGTGCGCGCGAAAGCGCGTAACTTTTCAGTGTCTTTTTTTTTCCCCCTCGAAACAAATATTGGTTTTACGGTCACGTTACGTGTACCGAAGGGTGGGGGGAGGGGAGGAGAATTATTGTTCGCGTGTCGCCAACCTTGTTCTTGACGACCCCGCTCCGACTCCTGGTGAAGATTCTGTGTACCCGATAAGTCTTCGTGAACATCGAGCCAAAAGCCAGGGAGAAGCCGGCCGATAGCAAGTACACTCTCGCCTGTTGATAAGAAACGCATAACACATTTATGTTAATCCTTGCCTTCAAAAGAGAGCACTTATCGCAAGCGAAATAATTATAGGAACGAGCACTTTGTAATAATCGTCGAGAAAACAATTTCAATTATTGCGTGTTTGTATAATTCTCGACGAGCAATAAATGACTGCGTAGTTATTATTGCGTATTTTAACTAAAAAACATTGCGCTTTCTCTCTCATCAACTCCAACTTTTCCAAATCATTTTTTTTTTAATTCTCAAATCCGATTTGTTTAAAAAAAAAGTGTGCCTTTACGTAATGCCTCTATTGCAAGGCATCCAGTATTAACGCAGCTCGTTAGCATACATTGTACGAGTCAAATCGACACCGATAATATTGATCACGTCGTCGAGGACGTTAATAGTCCTCGTAATAGATGTTAATCACCTTGCACACTGTAGGATAATAACCATCGCTGTCGGATAACGTGGCGTCGTCCAGTCCCAAAAGTATAACGGCACCGTAGACCAGACTACATCCGACGGCTGCCATGTTATTCAGCCTCGGGCTTGAAAGTTTTATGCTTCTGCCAATATCCAGGAATAATGGACTTGAGTGATATATCGTGACGATTTGCATACAGATTCATGGGTATATATGTATAGCAAGCGCGAGCCCCATAAGTGAGCTGTCTTCATTTATTTTGATTCATAAAATCGATATCACGTATATACTTACTAATAAAATTATTTCATTCTTTTTTTTTTTTTTAAGAATGATCGCTTAATATTCAGAAAGTGTATCCGCGAATATTGTCACAAGTATCACTTGGATGTTCGTGCTTTTCCATGATAATTCTTTATTTTATCAATTATATAACGATACTGAATATCGTACTTACTTGTGTCTGCGAAAGTGAAGGTTAAAGGCCAGATAAGCGAGCGCCAAAGTGACACCGACGCTGGCGATGCAAGTGATAGCGAGGAACGCGGCGGGTGCCACTGTCACCATTCGTAATCTGCGTGCAATAACAAACTCGATCACCCTGCTCTGTCGCTCTCGAGCTTGATGAATTATCGAGCGATGTTATCGAACGCGTAATTTAATTTAAACATGTTGTTCAGCGATGTTATAATTGCTACCGCTATTGCTGTACACAATACATTACGCTAGCTCAGTACAAGCTGTAATTATCGCCATATTATTGCCGCAAACGCGTGTCGAAACTATAGCTAAATATTTGACGGCGGCGATGATTTGAGATACTCCACATGTAAACGATTAACGCTGGAAGATTATCAATTTTTATTCCAAGTTATCGAAATCATAACGATAAAATTAGACTTAATAAAAATACGCGCTGTGAATAGTGCTAATATCTTTCAGTAATTTTATTTATATCGAATTCTGTAAATATAAAATTACTCAAGTACTTAAACAAAACACATCAGTTTATTAATATGCAAATTAGGATGCTCAAGACTTGATTTACCCAATAATGATTCGAGCGGTTCAATCAAGTGTGATAATGTTGATAATACGTACCGGAAGACCCTGCGAGCCGCTGGTACTTGCCCTCCAGGCCATCTTGTAGCCTCACATCCTGGACAGTTCATTATCAGTTTCTCATCTTCGGGAGTGTAGATAGCTATTCTCTTAATATCGTGTCCTGTAATCGAAAAACTTTGTCATCAATCACCGAAAGCGTGTCACGCTATTAGATTGCAGTTGGATCGATTAGTGAATTTCATCTCCGCGAACCTTTGACGATGCAACAATTAATAGTCGTCATTTAAAATCAATTACTTGACTTCTAATTCAATATTTGTTATATACTAAATTTATTTAGATTACGTACTTTTACGAAATACAAAAAATCGCAATTATTGATGAAATAGGAGGTGACGGAATTGCGGAACGGGACGGTAAGATGAATTTTCTAGGGATAAAGACTATTGATTTTTACTTCAAACTACATTTTTTTTGTCTCTGCTCTATTCCGATTTCTCTTTCCTTTCATCGTGAATATCTAGTAAAACTGTTCCGTTCGTGTGTTAGAAAATAAGTAGCGGAAAGAGATCGAGACGTCCAAAGGGACGTTTATTCACGTTGGGAGCGTAATTTCCTCTTTCTCTCTTTTGTTTGCGCACCTACCGCTTTCGTCTTTTTGTTGAGGGCAATTTTAAAGGGGAAATTAATTACTTCTCTAACGCCCGAGACTGGTGACATATGCAAAAACAGAAAGAAATTTGGAGTATAGTCCAGAGAATAAAATGTTAATAATGCAAACAACTCCCAATTGTGGTTTGATTATGCTTTCAAGTTCTACGCTAACAATATTAATTCTAGCAAAACAAAAACACGTGACTTTTGCCGAGTATTGATAATTATTTTCTTATTGGGGATATATATTGGGGAGATTATAGAATTACAGTACACGTCAAAAGGGTAACGTTAATCAAATCGAGGCTTCAATTCCTTCCACCTGGTCGTTCGGTGTCCTTAGAAAATCCATTATCCGCCCCCTTTTCTCTCTTATTCGTTCAACGATTTATCGGTCGATGTCGGTAAGCTCGGATATTCGCGAGACTGGCAAAAGGTGGATTGGAGCCGTGCGAACCTTGTCAGCATTGCTTGCACCACACCTGAGGCCGAAGTTTCAGTGAAAAACCTATTCGAATAACGGATTAAGCGCTATTCGATTAAGGTGATCGCTTTTAAAAGCGATCGTCTTAATAGCAAAGCGTGACACAGGGAGAATTATAGCGAATTAGTAGATACACACGCGCACGCGCGTATACTGTATTAGAAAAGATATTTCTTTTTTAATCGATTTTAATTCTTCTTCTGGGATAATTGAAAAAATTTAATTTCTTTCACGTGTCGCATTTATATCAGCTAGTATTGTGCAATTCAAATTATCTCAGAAACCGTTCGGAATAAGATACATGTTTATATGAACATTTTTTAAATAATCGATACTATCATTTCCCAGAATATTTGTTTTTTCTTCTGAGATATTCTGTGTAATTATATAATTTTACTTATAATAGAAAAAAATATACAACTTTGTAGAATAACACCGTTAGAAAAGCGTAATAATTAATTCAATAAAATGATGTAATAGAAAATTGGTAATATATCGAGTAATTCTGGAAATGGAGATATTATCGTATCGTTCAATCGTTCTAAATGTCATTCGTGATATTATGCAAATTGATTTGCTGCCGATGCGATATCCAAGTTGTCTTCCTTCTATAAGCTAATGTGTAATTAAAATAAAAATGAAATTAATTTGATATCGATGTCGTTATGAGTAAATGGAAAAGTTATAGCTAACAATAAACAGTAATTTTTCAGCAGCATTCAATCATAGAAATATGTCTCTTAAATCGATATGTCTCTTAAATCTTTAAGCAGACTTCTTGTGTTTGATTCTCAAACGAAGCGATCTGGATTTCTTGCCAAGTTCTTGGAAGTATAATACAATCGATTATTGTATTCCTTTCAGTTACATTCAGTGAAGATCAAAAGAAAAAATGTCCAATTATGAAAGTACCGGTGCAACTTCGATATTTTCGTATCAGGATTGTCGATTTTAATTAATCTCCGGAATACGAAAATTAAAATATTATACGATCATGGTCATAGAATATCTCATACAGTAATCATATATATGTATATATATATATATATATATATATATATATATTAGTATATTAAGAAATAACATAATATTATATTGAAATATTATTTTTGTATGTCTTGAATTATTTCGATATTATACGTTTTTTAAGATATTTTCTATGTATACAGAGAACAGTATTCTTTTAAAATTTACACGAAATGCAGCAAGAAAAAACATATTTAGAGATAATACAAGTATTTAATAATTTATATTTAGCTTTGAAGAAATGTCCATAATTCTATTTAAAAAATTCTACAAACTAAAGAATCGCATGAATAAGTAAAGATGTGCAGAGTTTATAAAATATTTATTCTAAACTTCTCTTCAAATCATAAACCTCTTACGCAGATTTAAAGTTTCACTAAACTGCTTATCGTATAACAAATGCACGAGTGCTTTTACTAATTTGTTGTTGTTTTCATTATGCAAAATGTCTTAGAACCATTCTAGAGCGCTCTGTAGTTTTGTTGTCGATTTTCTCTTAGTACTAAAAGCAGTTAGCTGTGTCACATCAAATTTAATTCTACAAACAACAAAGAATAGCCATGTCGTTACATTTATTCTTTCTGCTAGAATCAGCAAACGCTCGCAATTTATACTATCCATGCTACCTTTTGTTTCTCTCTGCCACCACGTTTATGTGAGTTTCTGCCTTGTGCACCTCGAAGCGTTTAGATCCATTTTACGCAAACTAAGGTCTGCAATTAAATGTGCAGCGGAAATTTTATATTCATAAAATTTTATTTATCGTACAAAGAATATCTTTAGAATAAAAAATTCTGCAGACTTTTCCTAAAATTTAGAATAAAATTCTACAGTGGATCCTCTCACAAATCCCCTCCGCGCATCTTAAATCGTGTAAAGTGGCCTTTACAGCTTCCTGCTATCCAGCAATTTGTTTGCCTTTCAGCGCGTCGCGTGAGCACGCTTGCTGATTTCGCGAGTTCTCGGTGCGGCGATTATCATTTGGCGAACAAGAAAGAAAAATTGGGCGAGCGTGATTTTACGACGGTATAATAAATTGTCGGCCAATCTCCCGGATTGTATTCGCCCGGAGCGTTTCGGACGTAAATGGTGGATAAAGGGATCTGTCGCCCGCGGTTTTTACGAGCGGTTTTATCTTTTATTTTTTCACGTCCGTCATATTCCGTCAACATCGCGACGCAATTTCTCCAGCGAGCATACACCGTAATATTTCATGATAAACCCGCGACTGCGGGGCGCGCGATGACCGCTCACCCGCGTGCTTAATCCCACGTGCAAATTGGGCACGGCGAATTTTAGATACCACTAGCGATACATGATCCGAGCTTGCCCTACGGCCGTGCAAATAGATCGATAGAGTGCCCCTCGGAGCACAGGAATTATTACATCTCCTCGAGTGACCTCGCGGATATCACGGTACAATAAGGTAAAGAAGTAAGGTAGAGACGCGGCCGGTGGTGTCCGATAGTGAGTAATGGGAAAACGACGGGAAATGACAAAGTGAAATAAACGACACGATAGACGTAGATGACGTAATCGCAATTGCCTTCGAAACAAGCGACAAATCTATTTGGCCGACTCTGTCCTGCATGATTACCAAGAGTAATCGGACAACCTCATTATCTCTTGTCGTAATGAGGTAAAATGAAGTTCAATTTCGCGCTGCCTTTTTTTCCACGTTCTCGCTTTCATCCGATTTTCGCTTCAACGTGATATGCAAACGACTTGTTCCTCTCATCATTTTTCTCTCACAAAGATATCATGTTGAATCGATATCCGTAACGGCTCGTCGCGTACAAGAATCTTTCCTATATGTTCAGTCTTCTTCGTAACCCTCGTTGACCTTTACGAAGAACTATACTATATCTAGTCACTTCACCCCATCGCCCTCCATGGTTTTCCTTCGTCTATCATTATATTCTTAAGTAAGGATACGTCGTAAGGATATCAATCGATCTTCGCCATTTGATTTGTCTTACGAAAGGCAGGTAGCTATCCCCTTTTTATCCATCCCACGCGATTGCAATGTATTGCGCTGAAAAGTCTCAAGTCTCGCGGCGACGCGAGGTTTACTATTTGCCGTGGAATTTGATCGATTGCGGCAGGGTTTGACAGTTGAAAACGAGCGCGCGGCTAAAAGAAAAAAGAGAGAGAGAGAAAGAGAAAGACCGAAGACAAGTCACAGGTGGTGGAATGGCGCGGTGACAGTCGATACTATTTAATTTGTCCAAACAGCAGTGCGGATCTCTTTGTACTGATCCTCTCTGTAGTTGTCACTGACGCCGGAAATTCGTGTCAGTTCGTTGACTTTATCTAAAATCGATGTCCCTGGCGCGATGCTAAAAAAGAAGTTGCTTCTTCGAGCGACTCCGAGCAAGGGTTAACGAGCTGGGCGATGAGCCCGTGATATGCCACAGACGGTGGTCGCGTTAGAAAGGCGTGAAAATGGCGAAAGATTCTCTCGGGTTCAGCGCTCCCGAAAACGAAAGAGAGAGAGAGAGAATTTGTGATTTTACGCGACAAAACCCGTAAGTTTTTGACTACCCCTTAAATCGCTTAAAAACTTCCCTAATAGAGCACACTTCTTCCCCGCGCGATTGTTTTTGTCACAACTGACACGTGACTAATGATTTCCCACCGTGAGCATACACGAAGTGGAAAATAATTCTCGTGAGTTTCGAAGGGTTTTTCGTCGTGAGGATATTGTAACGAAAACATTACTGCAGGATTATACGAGCGCTGAAAATAGAACGCTTTGTGTCTTGAAATATACGAACGATTTTCCTGGAGAGAACGAAAAAAGGGAGAGAGAAATAACATAAACTTTATGGTATTACAATTCAAGAGGATCTCAAGTTTAAACAAAATGCTTTGGGTTATCTGTCTCTCGACTTCTCTTTGTTAAATTTACCGCGATAAGAGGCAGATGTTCTAATATTTGCTATAAATTTCGCGAACTACGTTTTAAGATGTAGATAACAGGTTCCTTCAACGTT